AGGCAGGGGCTCTACCACTGAGCCACACCCCAGCCCCTCACTGGGGGGTTCTAGGCAGGTGCTCTACAACTGAGCCACACCCCAGCTCCTCACTGGGGGTTTCTAGACAGGTGCTCTACCACTGAGTAATACCAACAAGTGATTTTGAATTGCAGTTTTGATATCGATTCACACTCTTGTCCAGGCTGGCCTGGAACTCTTGATTCTGTGGTCTCAGCATCCATAGTGCTGGAATGACAGCCGTGAACCATTGCATTTGCTCTCCACTCATTCATTGGCCCCTATTTTCACAATACAGCTCATGACATCGTTCCACTCATACAGGACCTACTTGCCAGGATGTTTAAGATCCATGAACTCTTTTCACCCTTTTCATTCTGTCCTCTATGGTCCACATCTTTTTTTAGTTTAGTTGTTTTGAAACAGGGTCTCACTATGTATCCTGGCTGTCCTGGAACTCACTCTGTAGATCAGGCTGGCCTCAAGCTCAGAGATCTAACTGCCTCTGCCTCCCAAGCAATGGGATTAAAGGCATGTGCTGCCAATGCCACCATCACTGCCACCAACTCCACCTGGCTATGGTCCACATTTTTGTTGTTGTTGTTGTTGTTTTTCTAGACAGGGTTTCTTTGTGTAGCCTTGATTGTCCTGGACACGCTTTGTAGACCAGGCTAGTCTTGAACTCACAGAGCTCGGCCTGCCTCTGCCTCCCTGAGTGTGGTCCACATCTTAAGGCACACATCTTGCCTTGACTCCTGCAGGGTCAGATGAACTTCGCTTTAAGTTCATACCAGAAGTAAGGACCCTCCTTATGAGTCTCAAAGATCTTTCTTTGCCCAGGCTCTGCTCTGCTGTGGAGGCCACAGTCTGAGGCCACAGAGTCTTGTGGCTGTGTCTTGTTGTTCTTTGGGGAAGGGTTTCGCCTGGATTCTAAGCACAGGGAGGCTTCTGGCACCACAGGGCTAGCCCAGCTGGCTACTGGCCTTCTGGGTGACTTACGTCCCCACTGGAGCGGAGACCTCAGCAAAGCTCTTTCCTGCCCACCCCAGCTTCTAACTTATTTTTCATCTATTTTGTGTGAATGTGTGGAGATATACCCATGACCCGGAACTGGTTTGGAGGTCAGAAGACAACCAAGTGGCAGGAGTGAGATTTTTTTTTTTTTAAAGATTTATTTATTATTTATACAACATTCTGCCTGCACACCAGATCTTACTATAGATGGTTATGAGCTACCATGTGGTTGCCGGGAATTGAACTCAGGACCTTTTGGAAGAACAGTGAGTGTTCTTAACCTCTGAGCCATCACTCCAGCCCCAGGAGTGAGATCTACCCTTTCAACATGTGGGTCCTAGGGTTTGGGCTGTCCAAGCACCTATCCCCTGAGCCATCTTGTTTGTTCCCATTTTAGTCCCTTATCCTTAGGGTAGATTTTTCTTTACTACAAAACTTTAGCCACATAATGATAAACGCGCACTTCATAAATTAGATATGTAACATATTCTATACACTTTGAGCTTCTCTTGGGAGGAATTAAAATTGGATGAATTATAAGGCTTCAATTGTAGCCCAGTTGACAGACAGAGTGCTTTCCTAGCACACAGGATGCTCTGGGTTCCATCCCAGGACCCAGTAAACTGGGCATGGTTGTACACACCAGTAATTCCTGTACTGCAGATAAACATGAAGGTCAGGAGTTCAAGGCCACCCATGGCTACACAGTGAATTCAAGATCAGCCTGGGCTACATGAGACCCATCTGAAGACACATTAGTAAGTTCCTGACTATCAAGCAATATCCAGTAAGGATAAGCAAAGGGAGCCAGGGAGGAAGGATTGGCTCTTTCCGTTAGGGGCTAGCAATCAGGAAGCCATGTCATGCTCTGTAATCTTTGTTTTGTGAAAATAACCTCATTTCAGGGACTGAATTACTTTGTTTAGCCTTTCATTCTGGAGCTGAGATCCAAAGGAGCTAAGAAGGACACATGGAAGCCAGGCATAGTTCAACTTGGGTTGAACCTGCCATGGTGGTATGGGTCTGTAACCCCACCACTTGGGAAGCTGAGGTAGGAGAATTGTAGTGAGTTAGAGGCTAGCCTGGGCTACAGAGTGAGACCCTGTCTTAAAAAAAAATTAATCAGAGGGCTGGAGAGAGGGCACATCAGTTATGAACACTGTTTGCTCTTCCAGAGGACCACAGGGAGCTATCAACCATAACTCCAGTTCCGGAGGATCCAACCCCTTCTTCCACGGCCTCTACAGACACAATACACATATAGTACACAGACATACATGCAGGCAAAACACCCATACACATGAAATAAAATTGCCTAAAATAAAATAAGTCAACCAACCAGTGCTGGCTTTGGTGTACACTTTTAATTTCACCACTGAGGAGGGAGAGGCAGATGAATCTCTGAGTTTGACACTAACCTATTGGTCTACATAACAAATTCCAGGTCAATTAGTGCTAAATAATGAAACTTTGTCTCAAACAAACAAACAAACAAAAAATATGTTAAAAGGTTTTCTCTCTGGCTTCCAATTTGTAGCAACATTCCCACCTCAGCCTAGAATTGGTTATAGGTGTGAGCTACTATGCCCAGCTACCTTCTCTATTTTTGCTCCCATCAGATAAGCATCTAGAATACTCCCTCTACCTCCTTTCAATATTTATAAGAAACTATTCCTGGGGTTGGGAGAGTAGTTGATGTTAGCCTATATCCTACATATGTGAGGTCCTAGATTCAATTCCAAGTACCACCTAAATAACTCCACACCAAAAACAACACACACACACACACACACACACACACACACACACACACACACACACACACACACTTTATAAAGGGCAGGAAGAAGCATAGCACACACTTCACAGGCATCTTCAAATAACACTGGGACACCCATTTAGTTCCCTTGCTCGGGAATTATAACGGCGATGCAATGACTCCCAAGTCTTTGCTTTCCTCTAGTAGTAACCATCTGCCAATAGTAAACATGGCTGCATTTCCCTTAACGCTTCACCTTCAGCCAGTAGTCAGCATGGCCGCTTCTACTTCCGCCAGGCCAGGGGTCAAGGGTGACCCAAGATGGCGGCGCCCATACGCGATAGGGGCGTGACGCGAAGGATGCTGGCGGCGGCCGAGGCTCTGCTGGGGCGGCGGCTGAGGTGGCCGGTACCGGTTCGCGAGCACTGGAGACCGGCCGGGCATTCACGGAGCAGGCGGGAGGCGGCTGAGGCCGAAGGGGACGCTCCGGTGTTCCAGTACGTGGGCTCGCGCGCGACTCGCGCGGATCGCGTCTTTGTGTGGGGCTTCAGCTTCTCGGGGGCTCTCGGAGTGCCCACCTTCGTGGTGCCGTCCTCGGGGCCCGAACCCCGCTCCGGCCTGCGGCCCCGACGCAGGATCCAACCGGTTCCCTACCGCTTGGAGTTGGACCATAAGGTGAGTGGCATCTTCCCAGGGGCCTCCCTTAGGGGACTTTCTTTCCTTCGTGGCTGGACTTCCGGGAGCATGACCTCCTAGTCCCCTGGATTTGCTGAGGAAGGCTTTTAGAGATGGCAGCCAAGAAAATTGTTTATCTTAGTGCTCTGTATTTGACTACTGAGCTTGCTTATGAGTTCAACAGCTTTTTGTGTCTTTCTCTGTGTGCAGTTTGCTTGTGGCTCGAGAAAATTTTGTGTCTTAATTTATCTTTCTTGCCCGATTGCAGAAGTTGACATCAGGTGTTCTGCCCACCTTGAATCATTTTCTCAGTACCCAAAAGGCTGTAGTTGTCACCTCCCAGTTACAGGGGATGATAGGGTGTACCAGAGAGGTTAAGTAAGGCCCAGCTGGTAGGGTGTAAACGATGGTATTTGTATCTAGACTAGGAAGACTCCGTGAGTTAAGTTAGGGAAGGAAAACCCAAAGGGCAGAGATGCGTTGGCTAGAACAAATGATGGAAAGTTGGGAAAGGAAATGTCAGTGTGAGCAGTTGGAGAGAAGGTGTGAGATTGACCTCTCAAAGGGTCACGTTTAAAAAGGGCTCAGCAGCCCAGCAATGAAGGCCCGCACCTGCAGTCCCAGGACTTGGACTATTTGGTTGAGACAAGATTGGCTCAAGTTGCAGGCAGGCTTGGGCTACACAATGAGACCCTGTCACTACCTTCAGAATGCTGCGGTTGCAGCTGTGTGATACCATTTCTGGCTTAAGTGGTGCCGGGCATGGAACCCGAGAATTTATGGGTACCATGCTAGCACTGTGTCAACTGAGCTATATCCCCCCCTCCCCACGAACTGTTTGTGCACAGTGTGAGAGGAGGGTCTACGGCTTTCTGCTTGTAACTATCTTGTAGTACTTGCCTCTTCAGTTGGAAAAAAAAAAATCCTCCCTTCTTTTTGGTATCAATAAAAAGGTTTGTTGTTTGTAGTTGTAGGAAATATATCAATAAATATCAATCTTGTACTTGTGACTTTGTTGCAGTTTTTAAAAGGTTCTATAGATTTGAAAAAAGAAATTAAGTGTATGGCATTTTTTCTGCATACCTATTTGTTTCATTTGTGTGCCTGGTGCCCATGGAGGCTAGCAGATGGTGTTAGAGCCTGTAGAATTGGAAGTACAGATGGCTGTGAGCCTCCATGGTAGGTGCTGGGAGTTCAACCCCAGTTCTTTGAAAGGACCACAAATGCTCCCCTGAGCCATCCCTCCAGCCCTTGTTGTTGTCATTCCTCTTTCCTTTCCTTTTTTTTTTTTTTGCTTTTGGTTTTTGTTTTTCAAGATGGGGTCTTCCTGTTATGGAGCTCTCGAGGTTCTGGAACTTGCTCTGTAGACTAGTCTGGCCTGCCTCAGAAGTCACAGAGATCCACCCACTTCTGCCTTTGAGTGCTGGGATTAAAGGCGTGCACCATCAGGCTTGGTTCCAGTCCCTGTTCTTACAGATTTTTGGGTATTTCTTAGTGTTTTCTATGTATAGGTTGTCTGTGTATAGAGACCGTATTTCTAAATGGATGTTTATTTTCTTTTCCTTTCTTGATTTAATGGGGTGGAACTCTTATTGCTGTGTTAATAATGAATTTTAATTTGTAAAAGCTGACTTTATTAAATTTTGTTTTTGAGATAGAGAATTCATATGTAACCCAAATTGGCCTTAATCTCAGTGTGTAGTCCAGTCTGACTTTAAACCTGTGAGCCTCCTGCTTTAGCACCCTGCATGCTGGGGTTGCAGGTGTGTGCCACCAGACCTGGTCTTGCCCAGCATACTTGTTGCTTATTGGGAAGGCATTCACGAACCTCCTTGTAGACTGCTGGCTGGAAGGCCCCTCCTGGTCCATTCCCATATCAAGCTCTCACTTTAGCTGACACTGTTAGATGCTGCTCAAAGCCTTTCACACATGAGCAGAATAAATGGCACCATGTGCCCATCAAATATTTGTTGAGTGTTAAATAAACAGGCATCACTAAGCATGAGAATAATCTTAGTGTGCTGGGCATAATTTTTAGACCTGTAGATGTTTTTTTCTTTGTGTGTGTGGGTGTTTTTCTTGAGTGTTTGTCTGTGCATAACTTGCATGTCTGGTGCCCACAGAGGCCAGAAGAAGAGCTGTGGAACTGGAGCTACAGATAGTTTCAAGTAGCCACATGGATGCTGGGACTCGAACCTGAATCTTTCCTGACCTCTCATGTAGTGCAGTTAGCCTTAGCCTCCCATGTAGATCATCTCTGTAGTCATGCCAGAAGTATGGTGGCTGAGATTAAAGGCCTGCACACCACACCTGGCAGCACTTCTGTTTTCCACCTAGAGCCACCTTGATTTTTCTGCTGACCGTCACAGTAACTACATTGTAGCATAAATCAGGTGCTACTTGTTGTAAAGGCTTTGGATGTATGAATTCATTTCTTCTTGGCAACAACCAGTGGGAGGGTCATCTCATTCTCTGTGTGGGTGCGTGTGCCTGTAGATTTGTATGCTCATGTGGAGGCCAGACTGTCTTCCTCTAGAGCTCTCCGCATTACTTTCTCTCTCTCTCTTTAAGATTTATTTATTTATTTTTTTATTTACCCATTTATTTATTTATCCATTTATTTATTTATTTATTTATTTATCTCTCCGTCTATCTATTTATTTATTATGTATATAGTATTCTGCCTGCATGCCAGAAGAAGGCACCAGATCTCATTATAGATGGTTGTGAGCCACGGTGTGGTTGCTGGAAATTGAACTCAGGACCTTTGGAAGAACAGTCAGTGCTCTTGAGCTCTGAGCCATCTCTCCAGCCCACATTATTTTCTTGATACAGGATCGCTCACTGTGCCTGAAGCCCTTGATCTTGCCGGGCTGACTGGCTGGAACTCCTGGGAGTCTCCTGTTCCTGCCCCGTAACTGAGCTAATAAATACCACAGCAGCCATGCCAGACTTCGACCTGGGTGCTGGGGATCTGGGCACAGGTCCTTGTGCTGACAGAGCAAGCACGCTTACCTGCTGAGCCATCTCTCTAGCCCTTCATTTCCTTAAAAAATTTTGAGCATTTATTCATTTTGCATGTGTATACATATGTATGCCTATGCTTGTGTGTCATAGCACACACGTAGAGGTCAGAGGTCAGCTTGCAGGGTTAGTCAGTTCTCTCCTTCCACCATATGGGTTTAGGGATTGAATTCCAATCATCAAGTTTAAGTGGTGTTGAGTACCTTTAGCTCCTGAGTCATCTGGCTGGGCCTTGTTTTCCATTTGTTTGCTTACTATGTATTGGTTGCCTGCATGTGTATCTCTGAAGCAGGTAAAAGCCTGCTAGCTCAGAGAGGCAGAGAAAGCACCCAGCTGACCTTCATCCTCAGCTGACATCCCAGAAGGAAAAAGGCAACCTCCTTCCTCACACTGTCTCTCAAACTTAATGTTCTTCCTTTCTATTTCCTATGTGTCTCTCCATCTTCCTGACTTCCTCTTACTTTCCCTCCATTTTTCCCCTTATGTTCACTTCCTGTTAACTGGTTGCTTGCTCCGCCTCTTGACCTATGGTTGGCTTTATTTAATTCAAGCAGAAACCTTGGATTAAGGATATGTGTTAGGGCTGAGCCACACCACAACTAGAAACAGGTTTCTTAGTAAACAACATGATCTCAGGGTTCACAGTTTGTTCAGATATACTGCAACAACGTCAGATTCTGGAACCAGAGTTTCAGACAGTTGTGAGCTTTTGTGGGTGCGGAAAATTGAAACCAGGTTCTTTGGAAGGACTGCCACTGTCCTTAACCACTGAGCCATCACTCCAGGCCCTGGTTTTCCTTTTTATAGTGAGAACTATTTGGAGAGGAATAATGGTGCTCAAGCTACTATACAGCCGGTAGGTGGTGGGGCCAAGTTTCACACTATGATCTTCCGTCAACTGCCAGCTGTGCTGTGGGTGAGCTGAGAATGCCTGGTGCATGGTGTAGCCTACATACAGGATGAGCCCCAGTCTCTGTGGGACGTACATGAATGTCTATAAACAGCCTGTCACTACTTGCTGAAAGAACTGATACCACAAATCAATCCATGATGCATGGTGAAACTCTTTTTCAGATTTCCTCTGCTGCCTGTGGCTATGGATTCACATTGCTATCTTCAAAGACCAAGGATATTACAAAAGTTTGGGGTATGGGACTCAACAAAGATTCTCAGCTTGGATTTCACAGGAGCCGGAAGGATAAAAGTAAGCAGGTGTCCTTGCCATAAACTACAACAACAAATTAGGGGTGTATGCCACTAATCTCAGCAAGGGAAGTGGCACTTGAGCCAGCCTGGGCTACAAGTAATTCCCTGTCTTAAAAACTCAAGGGCTGAGCTGGGCCCGGTGGTACACGCCTATAATCCCAGCACTCAGGAGGCACAGGCAGGCAGATCTCTGTAAGTTCGAGGCCAGCTTGGTCCAGACAGCCGGGGATACACAGAGAAACCCTGTCTCAAAAAAACCAAAATCAACCAACCAACCAAAAAAACCTCAGGGGCTGCAGCTGGATGTGGTGGTGCACACCTGAAATTCCAGCCCTCTCGAGGTGGAGGCAGGAGGATCGGGAGTCCAAAGTCATCCTTAGTGTTATAGTGAATTTGAGGCCATCAGGATTCCTTGAGACCTGTCTCAGAAAAAGACAGCTGCCCAAAGCAAAACTAGACAGTCTTGGGGTATATTTGCAAGCCCTAGATTAATGATTTCTCAGTCTCTTCGGTAACAACAGGGAACATTGAGGCAAAAAGAGACAAGCACCTGCTATTTGCCGATCCCTAAAGAGATCCTGCTTGTCCCTTAACACTCTGAAATGCCTAGAGTGTGGGCTGTCGACATGGCTCAGCAGGGCAAGGCACTTGTTCTCAAGCAGGAAAGCCTGAGTTTGTTCCCGGGGACCCACGTGGTAGAAGCAAAGAACTGACTGCCTCAGTTGTCCTCTGAGCACTGCATGCAGACTGTAGCCATGGCTGTCTGTGCTCACACACTGAATTAAGTTGTAAAAAGTTTAAAAAAATGTACGAAATCCTTAAGAAAGCCAATGCTTGAAACTTTAATTTTAATGTTAGAAAGGGAGTCTGGAGGATGGCTCAGAGGTCAAGGGCATGTACTGCTGTTCCAGAGAACCTTAGTTTGGTTTCTAGCACCTCTATCAGACAGCCCAAAACTGCTTGTAACTCTAGCCCCAGAGGACCCACCACCCTTTTCTGGTCCCCTCAGACACCACACTCATTTGCACACACACACAGACATGCACCTACACAGAATTATAAATAAAACAAATCTTTTAAAAAAAATGTTAGAGGAGCTAGAGAGCTGGCTCAGAGGTTAAGAGTATTGTCTGTTCTTCCAAAGGTCCTGAGTTCAATTCCCAGCAACCACATGGTGGCTCATAACCATCTATAATGAGTTCTGGTGCCCTCTTCTGGCATGCAGACACACATATAACACCATATAGATAATAAATAAATAAATCTTTTTTAAAAAGTTAGAAAAGGCCAGGTGTGGCATTGCACAACTTTAAGCCCAGCACTTGGGAGGCAGAGGCAGGCAGATCTCTGAGTTTGAGGCCAGCCTAGACTACATAGTTCCAGGTAAACAAGGCTACAAAGTGAGACCATGTCTTAAAAAACAACAGGGCGGGTGTGGTAGCACATGCCTATGATCCCAGCACTCCAGGTCTCCCTGCTCTACAAAGCCAGTCCAGGATAGCCAAGGCTATATAGGGAAACCCTGACTTAGAAAAAATAAAAAACAGCCAGTTGTGATTGTGCATGTCTTTAATCCTGGCCCTTGGGAGGCAGAGGGATTGTTGTGAGTTCGAGGCCATCCTGGTCTACAAAGAGAGTCCAGGGCAGGCAAGGCTACATAGATAAACCCTGTTTTGAAAAAACCAAACAAAAAAACCCAACAACAAAAAGTTAGCAATAATTTAAAGTGCTTTTTAATTTAATTTAATTTTTGGTTTTTTGAGACAGGGTTTCTCTGTGTAACCTTGGCTGTTCTGGAACTCACTCTGTAGACCAGGCTGGCCTGAAACTCAGAGATCTGCCTGTCTCTGCCTCCCCAAGTGGCACATGCCACCATGCCAGGCTCTTGTTTTTTAAGACAGAGTTTTACTGCCTTGGTTAGCTGAAACTATGTAGACCACGTTGGCCTCAAACTCAGAGATCCACCTGCCTCAGCCTCTGGAATGCTGGACTCATCAAAGGCGTGTGCCACTGTGCCCGTCAGTATAATGGCCAGGCACAGCCCTCTACTTGCTGTTCTTAAACACTGCCTGGGTTCCAGCCTGAGAAGAACACAACTGGTGTGCATCTGCAATCCCACGCCTTGGAAAGTGGAGGCAGGGGGATTCGCTGTGTGGATGAGGGTGGCCTCGAACTCCTGATCCTTCTGCCTTTGCCTGTTATTGAACCTAGATCTCAATCTAGCTCTCCTTGCTGTCTCCTGAGTCCCAGGACTAGTAGGCTCAACTCTCAGATGTCTTTTCTTTTTTAAGATGGGGTTTCCTGTAGCCCAGGCTGGTTTTGAGCCTTTGTTTAACAGCTGAGGATGACCTTGAACTTAGAATCTTTTTGTCTCAGGGATTTATGTGGCGCCAGGGGTGGAACCCAGGGTGTTATGTGTGCTAGGAAAGTGCTCTGAACTGAGCTTCAGCCCCAGGAGACAAGTACAGTGTTCAGGACTCCATGCCTCCTGTGGCATAGAGGTAGTACAGTAGGGCAGGCTGGGAGTCAGTCTTCTCAGGCTGGCCTTGTCCAGACTGTGCATGCCTCTGAGTTACTGCTGCCAAGTTCCTTCCTGTGGGGTGGTCAGGCTTCTGTAAGAGCCAATGTGACCCAATCAGCAGCTGAATTGTGACCTTGGTGCTTCTGTTCAGCCAGGGGCTATGAGTATGTTTTGGAGCCCTCGCCTGTCCCGCTGCCCCTGGATAGACCTCAGGAGACAAAGGTGTTGCAGGTGTCCTGCGGCCGGGCACACTCCCTTATCCTGACCGACAGAGAAGGTGGTGAGTAGTCTTGCTGAGGGCATGTGAAAGCAGCCTGCTGTTGGGCACCTCCTGATTGCTGTGCTGTGGTGTTTCCCTCAGCAGACTGGTGGGGTGGCATCGGAGGGTAGTGTTGGGCAGACTTGCTAACCCTTATGTTCCCTGTTGTGCTCAAAAGTTGCTGCCCACTCTGCCCCTGAGCTCTACTTCAGCCCTTGATGTATTGAGGTTTTATCTATGTGTGCATGTGTGTGTATTTGAGTGTATGCTGCATAGTATGGTGCCTGCAGGGGTCACAAGACAGTATCAGATCCTCTGGAGCTAGGCGGTCATAACTGCTCATTTTGGGTGCTGGGAACTGAATTCAGGTCCTCTGGAAAAGCATCCAGAGCTCTTTACTACTCCGTCATCGCTGCAGCCCTGACTTTTTTTTTTTTTAAGATTTGCTTTGTAATTGCATGTTAACATGTTTATGCCTGAGTATGTGTTTGTATAGGTTATAAGCATGTTAATAACGTCACGGGGTAGTAGACATTGTTAGCCTCCATTATCTAGCTGAACTGAAGGCCCCTCTGTCACTGGTTTCTTCCTCCTGGGCTCACAGCAGTTGATTGAGATCCTCAGTCCCTGGCGGTGGGAGCAGGTCTAGAAGAAAAGCATGCCAGGCCCTGCCACCCTTACAGGCTGCTGCAGAAGCTGCCAGTGCGGGAGAGGGAAATTAGGGTTGCCGAGGGTGAACAGGCCAGGAGTCCTCAGAGCTGACCTGACGGCCTGGCTGTGCCGTGTGTGCTTCAGTCTTCAGCCTGGGTAACAATTCCCACGGGCAGTGCGGACGGAAGGTGGTGGACGATGAAGTGTACAGGTGAGTCCACAGCGCTGCTTCCCGCTTTGTGGGGACAGGAAGGCTTCGGATTGCCCTGGGGCAGGACATGGTTCTCGGTGCCAGGAAGGAGCCCTCAGCTCATGGAGGCCCTGCCATTTGTAGGGTGAGAGGGGAGGTGGAAGGGAGTTGGTAATGCTATGTACATTTTTAAACGTTGTGTGTGTGTACACATGTCCTTATCTCATGTATGGAGGTCAGAGGATACTTTTCAGGTGTCAGTTTTCACTTCTACCATGTGACCTCTGGGATAGACCTCAGGTTGTTGGGGTTGGTGTTGAGTGCCTTGACCTACGGAGCTATCTTGCCAGGCCTCTCAGTTTTTCTTTTCTTTTTTTCTTGAGACAGGGTTTCTCTGTGTAGCTTTGGCTGTCCTTGAACTTGCCTTGTAGATCAGGCTGGCCTCGAACTCACAGAGCTCCACCTGCCTTTGCCTCTTGCATGCTAGGATTAAGGTGTGTGCCACCTTTCTTTCATTTCAGGTTCTTTTTTTATTTTTCTTGAGAAAGGGTTTCATTGTGTATCTTTGGTTGGCCTGGAAAATTTCTATGTCAGCAGGTTGACCTCGCTCTTACAGTGATACATCTGCCTCTGCCTCCTGAGTGCTGGGATTAAGGTGTGTACCATTTTATCTGGATATTCTCCGTTTTGTAAATTTTTTCACTTTATCAAATTAACTTAAAAAAATTCCCTTTATTTTAGTCTTTTTAGTTTAGTGTTGGAAATATTTTCCCACGTTAGGCATAGTAGTGCATGGCTGTAATCCCAGCATTTGGTAGGTATGGCTGTAGAGCTGAAAGTGAAAAGCCTGGCTGGCCAGTTTATATAGACCTTATCTCCAAAGATATAAATCAAAGGGGTAGGGGCCAGGTGTGTGGTGCACACCTGTAATCCCAACACTCAGGGGCAGAGGCAGGAGTTTGAGGCCAGCCTGGCTTACAAAGCAAGCTCAGGACAGCCAGTGATATTACACAGAGAAACTATGTCTTGAAAAACCAAATAAAACCAAAAACAAAACAAAAACAAACAAACAAACAAAAAACCCAAAAAAACAAAAACAGGCATGGCTCAGCTGTAGAGCAATTGCCCAAAGTCCAAAGTTAGGGGCTAGAGTAGTGCTTGCCTTGCATGAAACCTGGATTCCAGCCTCAGCACCATAAAGAATCAAACAAACCGGCTTGATAGAAGCTCAGCAGTGAAGAGCACTTACTCCACATGCAGAGAACTAGAGTTCTGTTCCCAGCATGTCAGTGGGTGGCTCACAGTGACCTGTAGCTCCAGGTGCAGGAGATACAATGTCTGTGGTCTCAAGGGCACCTGTACATTTGTGCACATGGCCACACACATAATTGAAAACTTGGCAGACAAGGTACCCTCAGTTGATTACCCTACACCTGACCTTGAGAGCTGTCCTGTTTGCTTTGTGCATGTGGGAACATGACTGCACAGATGGGGTGCTGGATGGGGCCCATCCTGCACTGGTGCTCATGATTGCATCTGTTGCTTCTCTTCAATCTACTCCTGGCTTCAGCGAGAGTCACAAAGTGCACAGGATGCAGGACTTTGATGGACAGGTGGTCCAGGTAGGTTGCAAGGTACTTGAGGTGATGTCACATTTGTCATTGGGCTTCTCTGGATATCCTGAGGTTACTGTTGCTGTGATGAAATACCATGACCATAAGCAACTTGGGAAAGAAAATATTTGGCTTACACTTTCATATCGCTGTTCATAATTGAAGGAAGTCAGGGTGGGAATCTGGAAGCAGGAGCTGATGCTGAGGCCGTGGAGGAGTGCTGCTTCCTGGCTTCCTTCTCATGGCTTGCTCAGCCTGCTTTCTTGTAGAATCCAGGACCGCCACCCCAGGGATGGCTCCATCCACAATGGGCTGGGCCTCCCCAATTAATCATTAATTTAAAAAATGCTCTACAGGCTTTTGTACAGCCAGATCTTATGTTGGAGGCATTTTCTCAATAGGCTCCTCCTCTCTGATGGCTCTAGCTTGTGTCAAATTGACCTAAACCCAGCTAACATACTGGCTGATGAGATTAGTAGAAATGAACTTACCAGAGACCAGAACTGATGCTAGAGTGTAAGAGCAGGGTTGGAAGTGAAGGGCACACATGTAGCAGGACTAGCAGTAAGGTCGCAACAGAGCGGAGTTCTTCTTGAACTGGCTTCATAGTCCCATGAATATGAGTTCAAGTCTCTGCTCCTCCACTTACTTGCTGTGTGACCTTGGGTGGTTCTATTTGTGCTAGGGGGTCGTGACTGTTCCTGCACCTGTCCTGTGAGTTAGAAAAAGAAGTATGCTATCCTATTGTCCTGTAGACAGGCAGTGATGGGGTATGAGGCTGCAGGAAAGCCTCCAGGTGGACAGTGCCTTCAAGGGAAGCATGAAGAGGGACGAGATAGCAGACTCCAGCAGGGAAAGTGAAGAGGCTGAGTGAGGTAACAGAGTGGAGGGGTACCCAGATGGGACCTCAGCATTGGAGTGGAGGAGGAAAGAACTGTTGGATTTGCTTCTTAGGATGTGGACAAGGTAGGCTGCATGGCATCAGAGAGAGTCAGCTGTGAAGGTGAATTGGGGTAGGCCCGCCTGATCCAGTGCCCTCTGCATGGGCCTGGCTGCCTAGGCACTAACTGCACCATCTCTCTGTGTCTGCCAGGTTGTCTGTGGTCAGGACCACAGCCTGTTCCTCACAGACAGAGGTGAAGTCTATTCTTGTGGATGGGGTGCCGATGGACAGACCGGTAGGTCCTTGTTGGCCCTTCTTGGCCGGTGGCCTCTGCAGCTTTTGTGGGCTGTAGGGCTCATGGTCTAGATTTGAGTTGTCTGGGGAATGCCATCTTCTGCATCCTTTCCTGTTCTTTTTGCTGCTGGTTTCCATAGAAACGAACCAAGAAGGTGTCAGAGGTTCCTGAGCACTGCTGTCAGTGGCAGAGCTTTGGGCCTCATTTCCCAGCGACAAGAGTCTGGAGGAGCAGGCTGTTGACTCCTGCTAGTACTCTCTCCCCTTGGGGGCTTAGTGACTTGTTTACGAACTTGTGTTTCATTGAGTTTAATTTGTGGGAAACTTCAGGACCTGAATTAGAGAGCATTCCTCTTGAAGGCCTGTTGCCAAGGGCTTCTGCTGCTCTGAGATACCAGTTTACCCAGGAGTCTGTACTTTGGCCAGCTGCCCAATAAGGTCTTGTGCTGTATGGGTGGCCTCTAACTCCTTGTCTGGGTGGCCTCTTCCCTTAGCCTGCTGGGTCCGTGTACCTACAGGTGCATGCCACTATGCCTGGCTTCCTTATCTCCTAGCAAGTCCATCAGAGTATTAAACTGCTTCCTCTAGGGCTGGGACATAGCTCAGAGTCAGCTCCATTTCTAGCACTGCAACGCAAAAGACAGCAAAAAGAAGAAAGACGGCAATTGCTTATAATCATGCAGACTTGGAAGCCTTACTGTATTTCATCTCCCAAAATTTTCTAACTTGACTTTATGAGGTTTTGTATGAGGATCTGCTCTCTCTCCTCTTCCTTCCCTCTCTTCCTTTTTTCCTTTTTTTGACACAGGGTCTTTCTATTTAGTTCTGGCTGTCCTGGAACTCTTTATGTAGAACAGGCTGACCTTGAGTTCACATAGCCTTCTGCATCCTGGGAATAAAGGTGTGCACCACCACAAGGGTCTGTTTGTGTTCTAAGGCTGTCCCCGAACTACGGAATAGCCCAGGCTGTCCTGGAAGTCAGGATTCTATGTCTTAAGTTCTTCAACTTGATTTAGATCTAAAAATTCCTAGGGTTTTAAACTATGCCAGGTGTTTTACGGATACAATAGGAAGAGCAGCCCGTGTTCTTAATGTCTGAGCCATCTCTCCAGCCCATGCCAGGCGTCTTTGTTTGTCCTCTTTGGGGCAAAGGGCTACCAATGTGCTTGTTCTTCCCTAAGTCTCCAGTGACTATGAGTTAATGCCACTGTTTCCTACTGTGCCAGGCCTGGGTCACTACAACATTACCAGCACACCCACCAAGCTGGGTGGAGACCTTGCCGGGGTGATGGTTGTCCAGGTCACGACCTACGGTGATAACTGCTTGGCTGTGTCTGCCGATGGAGGTGTCTTTGGCTGGGGAAATTCTGAGTACCTGCAGCTGGCTTCGGTCACCGACTCCACACAGGTGTGTAGCCAGTTTAGAGGGGTGTTTCAGGTGTAGCCTGCTGTCTCATTGCTCCTGCTCTGTCTCCGTAGAGCCCCCAAAAATGCCACTGTGACTAGCCCTGGTTTAACAGTGTTGTTTTATTTTTGTGTGCTTTTCAATTTGTGTGTGTGTGTGTGTTTATGTGTACTGTGCATGATTTGTGTGTGCACCCATGTGCATCTGGAGGCCTGTGGTTATGTTGGACACCATCCCTGACTATTCATCCATCATATTGACCGAGGCAGGGACTCTTAATCAAACCCAGAGCTTGTCAATATAGATTGTCTTGCTGGCCAGCTCGTTCTGGGTATCCCCTATGTTGGCCTTCAGAGGCTGGAGGCCTAGGCAGCCTACCTGGCATTTATATAGGTTCTGGAGCTCCAGGGTCCAGTTCTCATGCCTGCAGGCAAGCACTTTAACCACCTAGCCACCTCCCCAGTGAGTATGTGTTCCAAGACAGGGTTTTGCCATTCAGTTGTGGCTGGTCTCAGCTTGTAAGCACTCCTCTTGCCTCTGCCTCATGAGTGCTGCCATCACAAGGCAAGTGGCACCACCTCCAGCTGAGACAGTGCACTCTGTCTGTCCTCCCCTCCCCACCGCATAAGGTAGTGTACGCATGTGCCCACCACGTCATAGAGTGCCTCTGCCTCAGGGTAGCGTCTGTGTAGCCAGGCTTGGTGACAGGTTGGAAGTTAGCTTGGGCCACACAGTGAAACAGCCAACAAGCTGGGTGTGGAGGGGCTTACCTGGGATCCTAGCACTCAAGAGATGGAGGGCAGGAGAATAAGGAGTTCAGAGCAATCTCGGCTACAATTGAGGCCTGCCTGGGTTACATGAGACCCTGGCTCAATGAGTCAAAAGAAAAATGTAGACTCCAGAGCATGTGGATTCTAAACACAGTGCTGTAACTGAGGCTAGCCTTTGGTTCAGAGTCAGGCTCCCCATCCTGGGGTCACAAGTGTGTGTCGCTGTGCCCAGTCAGCTTTAGCATTTTATTTAGGACTATTTTGAACATAAAAAGTAGAGATTGTTTCATGACTAACATTTTTTTTTTTTTAGTGTGTTGTATGTATGCATGTTTGTGTGTAGCCCAGAGGTCAACCTCAGGAGCCATCTACCTGATTTGTTGAGACAGGGTCCCCTCACTGGCACTGGGGCCTCACTCATTTGGCTAGCTTGGCTGGCCAGCCAGTTCTGGGGTCCACCTGTCTCTGCCTCCCCAGTGCTAGGCTATAGGAGCACACCCACACCCTCACACCCAACTTGTGTGTGTGTGTGTGTGTGTGTGTGTGTGTGTGTGTGTGTGATGGGATAGAACTAAGGTCCTCATACTTACATAGCAAACACTTTACCAGTTGGGCCATCTTCTCAGTTCATACTAATATCTTTCCATTCATCATTGATATTACTTGTTAATGGTAACTTTTTAATAATGAAAGTATAATTTACACAGTGTTATTCACCAGTATGAAGTATGCACAGTTTAGTAGGTTTGGTTCACTCACAGAGGTTGCAGGCTGGCAGCTTGGCTCAGCAGGTAGAGGCACTAGCCACCAAGCCTAACAGCCTGAGTTTGCCGTCCAGGGAAGAGAGAGATCTGCCTCTCACAAGGTGTGACTCCATTGTGCTCTGTACGTGTGTCATGTGTGCATGTACATATGTATACAATACATAGTTAAGAAATTAATAAGAACAAAACATAGCCTGGTTGTGGTGGCTCATCTCAGCACTTGGGGGGCAGAGGCAGGCAGATCTCTGAGTTCAAGGACAGCCAGGGCTACACAGAGACTCTATCTCAAAAACAAAAACAAACAAACTAGATAAGCCAAGCCCCTCTCCCACAGCTCGTTACTGTCAAGCTCCCAGAACATCTCTGTCACCCAAAATGCACATGCTAGTGGCCAGCACTGCCATATCTCCCACGCTGTTTCTCTGCCCTGGCCTGTTTTTGTTTTTGTGGCACTGGGGATGGTACCCAGGGCCTCAGGTACACTGGGCAGGTGTCATACCATGGAGCTGCATTCCCATGTAACATGCATTTCTCGTGTAATGGTGGGTCAGGAACCTGTCAGGGCCTAAACAAGTGTCTTGGCCCTGAGGCTGCTAAGCTGCAGTCATCGAGGGCTTTCACTGGAAAGGAGCTGCCTCCCGGCCTATGCTGCTGGTGGTTGTCAGGATGTTGGACTGAGGCCGCGCTGCCTCCCTGGGAGTTGGCCATTTGCTAGCTGTTGGCCATGTGGGCTTGGTTTCTTGCCATATGGCACTCCATCCTGGAGAGAGGGGTGTGCATGGTGTGGCATCTGGTTCCATTAGACCAACAGGTGAGAGGGGCAGAGAAGGTCAGCAAGACCGAACCCAGTGGTGGATCATCTGACTTTGGAATCAAGGGGGCCCTCACTTCTTGAATTTTCCTCAGAGGGACCAAGTCGCCAGGGTTAGCCCAAGCTCACACATGGGAGTGGACACAGGAGGCCTAGATTCTTGGAGCCACTGTGGGAGTGGCCAGCACAATTCTCATTTCTTATTGTTGTTTTGTTTTGAGGCAGGATCTCTCACTGTGTAAGATCCTGGCTGTTGTAGATTCTGCAATGCAGATCAGGCTGGCCTGAATGCCGAGATCAAAAGTGTACATCCTCACACCCCGCTTATTTTAACGTTTTTACACTTGTTTGTTTAGAGTGTGTGTGTGGTCAGAGGACAGCTTATAGGAGTTAGTTTTCTCCTTGTACCTTGCTGGTTCTTGGGATTGAACTCAGTTAGTGAAGCTTGGCAGCAAACAGGTTTATCTGCTGAGCTATCTCACCAGCTGTATTTATGTATGTATGTATGTATGTATGTATGTATGTATGTATGTATGTATGTATGTATGTACCGACCTACCTACCTACGTGTCTGAGACAGGCTCTCACACTAGAGCTCAGGCTGGGTGAGAACTCAGGGCAGGCTTCCTGACTCAGCCAACAGCGTAGTGGGATACAGGTAAGAGCCACCACACCCAGAGCTATGGAGTCAGGGGTCTGGCTGTAATCAACCTTCAAAGGCAAGCCCCTGCTTCTCCCAGCCAGCTTCCACTTTCTAAAAGTTTCTGGCCTTCAAAGTAGCACCACTGCTTACGACTGTAGTTGACCCGGGAGAATGCAGCCAATAAACGAGTGGGATTAAAGTCATGCAACAGCCAACTTTATTCAGAGCATCAGACACATACTCCAAGGTTTACGAAGAGTCACTGGGTAAAGTATACAATCACAAGACAAATGCACGTGGCAAAAATGGTTTTTCCTCAGCGGCAGTAACAATAGCTGAAGCGAATTCAGCTCTATCTGCTTTACCCAGGAGGAGCACAAAAACACAGTCCAAGAACAATTCTGTGTTTTGAAGAAACTGAGGTCACAAGGCTCTTATCTTTTTTTCTTGGCATTTTCTCACAAGATTCCATTCTCACACGATTCCATTCTTGGACTGTGTTCCAACACACCACAAGCTGGGGAATAAGTTTCAGAACACAAGCTCAGCCAGGGATGAAGCTGTGCCCGCTTTTAATGGCAGCATTTGGGAGGCAGAGGGGATTGCTGTGAGGTCAAGACCAGTTTGGTCTACATCGTGAATTCCAGAACAGCCAGAGCTCTGTAGAGAGACCCTGTTTCAAAACAAACAAACACAAAAAACAAACAACAAACACCCCCAATATAACACTTGAGCCTCTGGGGCCACTTCAGATTCATATATAACAAGGACCATATCCATACAGTGATTTAGTGTCCTGGGTGACCTTGCTTCCCTACTAGTTTTGTTGTTTTGTTTTGTTTTCAGATTTGTGTGTATGTGTTGTGTGTTTGTGGGTCTGTGCATGTAAGTGTAGGTGCCCACAGGCTGGAAGAGTGTCGGATTCCCTGGAGCTAGAGTTGCAGGCAGTTATGAGCTACCAGATGTGGGTGCTGGAAAGAGAGAAGACACTCTTAAAAACCAGTTTTCCTTTTTTTTTTTTTTTTCTTCTTTTGAGACAGGGTCTCACTATGTAGCTCTAATGGGTCTGGAACTTGTTACGTAAACTACACTGGCCTTGAATTCACAGAGATAAGCTTGCCTCTGCATCCTGAATGCAGGCCCTAAAGGTGTGCGTCACCATGCTTATATCAGTCTCTCTCCTCCTCCCTCTCTCTCCCTCTCCAAAATACATGACTTTAGTTCATAACCCTGGTTACCCTGGGACTCCCAGAGATCCACCTGCCTCTGCCTCCTGTGCTGGAATCTTCCTTTTTTCCATTGTACATCTCTTCCTACTGAAGGATGTTCCCTTCTTCCCTTGCCTAGCTACCCCTGCTTAACCTTGAGAGCTCTGGAGGTGATGTTGTACCCCTCTCACTGCCAGGGCAGCCTCTTAGGGACTCCTGGAAATCCCCTCCACACTTTGGTAGCAAGGAGCTGAGTCTGATTGACATCTGCCCCCCAGAAGAGTGGGAACTTGGCCGCTCTGGTTCCCTTCTGTGTCCCAAGCCCTTGGTTGGGAAGCTTTGTGAGTAAGAGATGCTGGGGAGACCTTTGTGGGGTTAGTAAGTGATCCGGGACACTAGCCAAGGAGTCTAACTGTGTCACCCTTTTCTTTGGTACAGGTTAATGTCCCCCGGTGCCTGCCTTTCTCTGAAGTAGGCAAAGTGAAGCAGGTGGCTTGTGGTGGCACAGGCTGTGCTATATTGAATGGTGAGAGCCACTTCTTGGCAGCTCTTTGGGAAGTACTGGGCAGATAGAGAGGGAAGGGGACAGTTTGTGTACTTTAGATTTATAGACTGTAGATGGCAGCCCGAAGAGGGTGGCTGTGGGAACCGCTGTTGTATTAGTTCAGTGATCGCAGGGTAAAGGTGAGATTCCCAACAGGTTAGTAGCTCATGATGTAGGTAGATAGACAGCCACAGCTGGAGCTGGGGGTCAGACCCAGTCCCTTTGTTTACTGGGGGGGATTCTCGGCAGATGCTTGCCCCCTGAGTCACATGCCCAGGGTCTCGTGTGAAAATCCTGCTCTGTCTCTGAGTGTCACCCCCAGCAGCATTGTGCACTTGTTATGGCCAGGGCTACAGAATAGCTCAGTGGTAAAGTTCCTATGCATGAAGAGCCAGATACTCTCCTTAGCACTGTGCCAGAAAGAAGGAAGGAAGGAAGGAATGGGGGCAGGGTGATGAGCAGAGAAGAAAGGAAGGAAGGGAGAGAGGAAAAGGGAAGAAAAGAAAGCTGGGCATTGTGGTGCAGGCCTCTGATTCTCAGTATTCAGGAGGCTGAGGTAGAGGCTAGCCTGGAATACATAGCAAGACTATGTCTTAAAACAAAACACCTGGTGCTGGAGGAATGGTTCAGTGGGTAAGAGCATTTGTTCTTGCAGAGGACCCTGGTTCTGTTCCCATCACCCACATGGCAGCTCCCACCACCCACAGCATATTTCCACATAGTAGGAAATTTGATACTCTCTCACTTTTTCAGGCATCAAGCACCCATGTGGTGCACAGATAAACATCTGAGCAGAAGACTCATACGCATAAAATAAATCTTAATAAAAACAAAACAAGCCCCCAAACAAACTCCCCCAATACTTGTACTCCCCAAAAAGCAAGTTAAAAAGCATTTTTTTTTTTTAATTTTGTTTCCTTCCTTCCTTTCTTTCTTTTTTTGAGACAGGTTTCTGTGTGTAGTGCTGGCTGTCCTAGACCTGATTTGTAGACCAGGCTGGCCTCGAACACACAGAGATCTACCTGCCTCTGCCTTCCGAATGCTGGCAGAAAGGTGTAAGCCACCACCACCCAGCTCATTTCTAAGAGTTTTAAGAATCCAGCCAGAATGGCTTGTGTCTGGTATGGTCTTGACACTTGGGAAAGTGTCAAGTTTTAGTATGACCAGTGGGTTTTATGGATACCCTATCCCTATTACTTTCAAGAAGTGGGTTGTTTCTGCTCTGAGATTGGCTTCCTCCCTAGCCAAATTCCCCAGGCCAGTACTTAGTAAGGGAGAGAATGATTTCTCTCTCTCTTTTTAATTTTAATTAAAAGTTGTTTTTTTTTTGAGACAGGGTTTCTCTGTGTAGCCTTGGCCCTCCTCATTTTGTAGACCAGGCTGGCTTCAAACTAACAGAGATCCACCTGCCTCTGCCTCTCCAAGTGCTGGGGTTATAGGCATGCAGCACTGTTCCTGGCTGGGAGAATCAACCTGGCAGTACAGTGGGTCTCAGGTATACCAAGATGATCTTCCTGACTCCACCTCCTGAGTGCAGGCATTCTTCCTCCATGCCTGACTTATGCAGTCTGGAGACAGAACCAAGGGCTTCCCAAATCCTAGGCATGCATTCTACCAACTGAGCCCCACCTCATCCCCTGTAGTTTTCATGGCAAGGGAGGGCTCTGCTCTGCCTGACTCACAACTCCTGTTTTTGTTGTAAAACAGAAGAAGGACACATTTTCGTCTGGGGCTATGGAATTCTCGGGAAAGGACCAAATCTCTTGGAAACGGCTCTTCCAGAAATGATTCCACCTACGCTCTTTGGCTTGACGGAGTTCAACCCTGAAGTCCGGGTTTCCCAGATCCGATGTGGGCTTAGTCACTTCGCTGCACTCACCAGTAAGTTAGCCTGCTGGGCAGCCAGGCCTGAATCTGTTCCTTCCCAAACCGGGACAGACCTCAGCTCTGTCATCAGACTACAGTCGTTCCTAGCCAACCGTTCATCCACTCACCTTTTTGTCTGTCCTTCCCTCCATTCCACCATCTATCCATATCTCTCCATTCCTGTTCATCCTTCTGTTCATTCACTCTCTATCCCTTCTTCCCTCCCTCTCCTTTCCGTCCGTCCATCCATCCATCCATCCATCCATCCATCCATCCATCCATCCATCCAATAGATTTACGTGTTCATGGGATAAGTAAAGAGGGAGGCCATGGCAGAGGTAATCCAGTTTGTATCATACAGCACACATCTTCTTTTCATGCTGGCATTTTGGGGTTTTTGGTGTGGTTAGGCTTATGCTGTCATGTGATCTCACAGGAGGCATCTGTTGGGGCGAGGTGGGCAGAAGGGTCCGGTAGTGTGCTAGTGAAAACCAGGAGAGGTGTGGGCCATGCATGGGTGAGTGTGCGGGGTGGCAAGTGGTCCACCTTACAGCAGTAAAGCTCAGACTCTACAAGGTGCTGGGGTGGGATGACCACAGAGGCGGCTGGCTGGAGGCTCGTGAAAGCTGGGTGGGTTAGAGAGCCATGAAATAGCAAGTTACTCCGCAAGCATCTGGACTTCTTCATGTACCACCACCTCGCCTCAGTTCAGGTGGCTGTTCTGTAGTCCCTGGACGGCAGAGTTATGTGTGCATGCCACCATAGTGATCCCCAGGCAGTCTGCCACTTCCTTGCTAGTCAAAAGTCTTGAGTGAAAGGTGTAGCTTTTTCTTCTCACCAGAGCTTAAGTTTGCTCTTTTTGTACTTTTAATCTGCCATGTAACTGACCTCCATGCTTAACTCAAATCTCATGGCTCCTTTTCACTCTCTTAAGCTCCCACTTGTGAATTTATAATGGTATCTCTCTAAAGCAACAACAAAAAAAAGTCTTTTCATTTTTGGACTCAAGATTTGACTCAGAAGTAGAGCACTGACCCAGAATCCCCCAGTGAGAGGTTGAGGGTGTGGCTGAGTGGTAGGGCCTTCTTTCAACCCATTACACAAAGTCCACACATGGTGGCATGATGACCTGTCATCCCAGGTCTTGGGATTCAGAGGCAGGAGGATCAAAAGTTCAAGGTTATACTGCCTGGAATCTCCCAGTGAGGGGCTGGGAGTGTGGCTCAGAAGGAGAGCACCTGCCTAGAATCCCCCAGTGATGGGGGGAAGTATCAAGTTGTTATATGCCCGGTGGGTTTTATGGATACGCTCTCCTCATTACACTCAAGAAGTGGGTTGTTTCCATGCTGAGGTTAGCTTCCTCCCTAGCCAGACTCCCAGGCAAGTACTTATTCAGGGGGAAGAATCATTTTTAACCTGATAGAGCACCTGCCTAGAATCCTCCAGTGAGGGGCTGGCAGTGTAGCCCAGAGATAGAGCACCTGCCCAGAATCCCCCAGTGAAAGGCTAGGGACATGCATGGAGGAATAGCTTATCTAGACTTTGCCATTGAGGGGCGTGGCTCAGCAACAAAGTACTTTCTCCAGGGTGTAATCACTGTATTTATTAGTTTGGTCACTTGTTCATTTCTGGCTCTTCTACTAGGTCAAGTTCTTGAGATCAGGAAGTTGCTTTTGTTTGTTCAGTTACTGTCCTGTTCCCAATGCCCCGCACACAGACATACACCCGATACAGTTAGGAATGCAGTTGCTTTGTGCCTCCTCACAGAACACGCTCACACAACGAAATCCAAATAGAGCTGGTCGCCTTGCCCCACTTGTCAGTGCAAAAGGGCAGAGCTGGGTTAGATGGAGCTGTGGGTGGTAGCAGATCGTGAAGGTGAACAGACTGGGCTGTGCACAGGAATCCTAGTCCTTGTTCTGCAGAAAGCCTTGTCTTCCCTGGGCTGGCTGTCAGAGGTCCTGGTCTGGGGATGTGGGACATTCTGGAAGGTGCCTTTCTCCGAGACACACATCAGAGGCTGAGTTGAGCAGTCGACTGCTTACTGCTGGCTCTGGAAGGCTGTCCTCTGGATGGCCTGCTCCTGTGTAGCTCCAGCCAAGCCCTGTCTTCCTTTCCTTGTAGACAAGGGGGAGCTGTTCGTGTGGGGCAAGAACATCCGAGGGTGCTTGGGGATCGGACACCTGGAAGACCAGTACTTCCCATGGAGGGTAAGACCACGCAGGGGTGGGTTGTGCAAGATGTGCCAAGGGATGGGCTGGCTGTGGCAAAACAATTATGGGCCAGCACCCAGGACTTCCTGTTTGCTGCCTGCCGTGCTCTGGGAAGGGCTCCAGGGAGGCTTGAGTGCAGGTGAGGAGCAGGAGCTGCCGTAGCATCAGCCTTTCTGCTCTGTGCAGTCAGTGTGTCCAGCTAACTGCCACAGGCAGAGCTGGAGGGAGTGGCCTGCTCAGCACTCCAGTCCCTGTAAGAAGGTGAGCCACAGATGTGGCTCAGTAAGTAGAGTAGTTGCAGAGCGTGCATGGGCTCTATCTCCAGCACCGTATCAACTTAGTGGGGTGGCCCTTACCTTCAATCCTAGCACTAGACTTGTGGAAGCAGAATCACAAGTTCAAGGTCATCCTTAGCTACATGGCAAGTTTGAGGCCAGCTTGGGCTACATGGAATAGCTAAGTTCTTTTCAGAACAGCTTAAAGAGCTGGGTTAGGAAACATGACATGAAAAGATCACCCTTAAGAAAAGAGAGATAACCAGTGGGTGGTGGGACACACCTTTAATTCCAGCACTCAGGAGGCAGAGGCAGGTGGATCTCTGAGTTCAAGGCCAGCCTGGTCTACAGAGTGAGTTCCAGGATAGTCAGAGAAACTACAGGCTACATAGAGAAACCCTGTCTCGAAAAACCAAAAAAAAAAAAAAAAAAAAAAAAAGAGAGATGGCTCAGTGGGTAAGGGTGCTTGAGGACCTGGCGTGGTTCTAGCGTCTACATCAGATGGCTCCCACTTGTCTGTTACTCCAGGTCTTGGGGAGCCTACTCCTTCTGTGTTTGTAGTTACTGCACTTACATGACTTAGGTCCTCTAATATAGATACACACACACAGAGACACAAAGACATAAATAAGATCCTCAACACCTTAACGATTGAAAAACAGAAACAAAGGCCTTTGCTCTCTGGCTGTGGTCGCTGTAGTTAGTGGAAGCTGGAGGACTGCTTGCCAAAATGGAGGCTCTTTATCTGAGGTTTCGCTGTGTGGCACTGGCTGGCATGGAACTTCCTGTGTTGACCAAGATCATTTTAAACTCTCAGAAATCCACCTGGCTGTAATCCCAGTACTCACAGGCAGAATCTCTGTGAGTTCGAGGCCAGCCTAGTCTACAAAGTGAGTCCAGGACAGCCAAGGCTACACAGAGAAACCCTGTCTCAAAAAACCAAAAACCAAAGCAAACCGAAAAACCCAAACATCCCACCAGTGGAGGCCTCAGAGCACCGAGAAGTGCCTACCGCTCTGGTAGTGCCTGGTGGTGCCTGGCCTGGCGCTTGCTCTCTGATGCACCTTTGTGTCTCTCTCCCTGGGCACACCTTCTGACATGCACCACCACATCTGCTTGCTCTGTAGTGCTGGGAATCAAACCCAGGGCTTCATGTGTGCTAGGCAAGCACTCTGCCAATGGAGCTACATCCCCAGACCATTTCTTAAAATCACTTGTAAAATTTCAAAACATACATATCATTTGAATAAAGATCCACCTGCCAAAGACCCACTGCTTCCCTGGCCCTTTGCTGGGCTGGGCTTTCTTGTGGATCTCTCTTCTCTAGACACCAGGTTTCTCTTTGTAGTCTTTGCTGTCCTGGAACTCACTCTGAAGACCAGGCTGGCCTCAAACTCACAGAGATCTGCTGTCTCTGCCTAGCTCATATGGATCTCTTTATTTATCATGTGTGGGTGTCTTGGACAGCGCACATGTGTACCATGCTACATTTTTTGGAGGTGAGAGGACAACTTTTTGTCATTGGTTGTCTCCTTTAATCTTTATGTGGGTTCTAGGAATTGAACTCAGCTAAGCAGGCCAAGCAGCAAGTCCCCTACCAACCCTGGCATCTTGCTAATCCCGTCCTCTGCATCTCTTGCACTCATTTGGCTGTATATGGAGGCTGAAGGAGTCTAAGTTGAAAGTGGACACTTATTTTTTTTTTGAGACACGGTCTTCCTGTGTAGCCCTGGCTGGCCTAGAACTCACTCTGTAGATCAGGCTGATCTCAAACTCACAGAGATCCAACTGCCTCTGCCTCTCAAATGCTCTGATTAAAGGCGTGTGCAACATTGCCCCTGTTTGGTGACTTCTTCTAGAGAAAAGTATTATGTATGGATTGCTCCCACAGTGGTCTGGCCTGTATGCCTCCCCAGGCTGCAGATGTCACCACGAGACCAATGGCAGGAGCCAGCAACCACCTCACAACACACTCCCCCCTTCTTCCTCCTACTTCTCTTTTCTTTCTGAGTGTGGGCTTGGAAAACAATGGAAGTAGCTGCATCTCAACAAGTGCTTCACAGGCCTGTCACTTACCTATGAGTGTAGGTGAATTAGTTCCTTTCTTTCTTTCTTTCTTTCTTTCTTTCTTTCTTTCTTTCTTTCTTTCTTTCTTTCTTTCTTTCTTTTCTTTTTCTTTCAGACAGGGTTTCTCTGTATAGCCCTGGCTGTCCCAGACTTGCTTTGTAGACCAGGCTGGCCTGGAACTCACAGAGATCCGCCTGCCTCTGCCTCCCAAATGCTGGGATTAAAGGGTGCACTACCACACTTGGCTCTTAGCTTCTTGTTACTTTGACAAAAGCAGCTTAAAGGGAGGAATGATTTATTGTGGCTCACAGTTTAAGGGTACACAGTCTGTGATGGCAGAGAAGGCATGGAGGCAAGAGCATGAGGCAGCTGGTCACATGGCACCCACAGTCAGGAGGAGAGAGATGGATGCTGGTGCTCAGCTCACTCTCTCCTTTTTATTAAGTCTAGGACCCAGCCA